AATTATTTTGTTTTTAAAACATAAAAATTACAAATGTTGAAATATTTCTGCTAACATTCGACCCCAAACTTGTCAAAGTTTCTTGTTATCACGCCTAACTGCAAATGTACCGAACCCATGGCGATCGTTCTTAATTTATATCGGTCTCCACCAGTGTAGATGACATCGGAAGTTTTTAACTGTGGTGCACCGCCGACAAAAAAGCTACGAAGCTGTTCAGATTTGCTTGAACTTATAGGTCGCCATGTCACGCAATCAACATTGTGAGTTCCAGGGGACGTTGGCACATGGCAGTAACCATAGCCATAAATCTCGTTTCGTCCATTAGAGTCTTGGTGCCACACTTGAAAATGGAACTTGGGCCATCCTTTGAGCCCTTTTGTGGCAAAATGTAAGTCTATTGGATGGCACCATCGCGCACAATCTTCGCTCTGTGGGTTGTCCACTTGCGTCTGGCCCTCTTTTTGTCCAGCTAAAAGTTTCCACAGACCGTCAACATGAACAGACCATTTGCAGTATAGATTATGCGAGGGAAACCCGCTTGCACCGATTATTTCGCCAATAACATGTACTTCCGCCATTACCGTTTACTTTGCAAATTATTTAGCAACGGAAAAATGATGTAAACATGTCGGGCTTTCTATTACGCATGCTACTTTTGAGCCCGCAATAATTCCGCACAAAAGATGGCGGCAAAAGTTAAAGTTTTCCTGATGTAGATGATATTTAAAGTGAGTCCTTTTAATTAGTGTGAGGGCTATTTAGATCAACGAAGCTCTTTATTTTGCAAACAGAAAGAGCAGTATGGGTGATGAAGAGAAAAGAGTTGAAAAGATCGACAGCAGACCGATGTGCAAATACGGAACAGAATGTTATCGTAAGAATCCGCTCCATTTTAAGGAATACAGACATCGAGGTAAGCTTACGTGAAGTGCTTTCACCAAATTTATTTATAACAGATTTTCACATAAGTTATCCATCGAATACAAATCAAAACAGTTAGTATACCAACTTTATGTGGCTAATTTGCTTCATGTATAACTTAACCTATTTACGGAAAAGTCAGGAGACCTCTAAACCTGAAATATTCTTAAAATGTTGATCATGCCCTGACCAATCAGTTTGGAGATGAAGATGCAGCCTGACCACACAACATCCAACTGGCTTTACTCTTGACCATAACAACATTCCAGAGATAATTTTTGTGTTGGCTGGTATGTAAGTTTCACAGTGTATTATGTAAAGATTAATAAAAATTAATAGATAATAATTATTTTTCCAATGAACCCGCTAAAGGTTATGACTCTGACACTGATGATGATGATGAGTTGGAGAAGTCTCCTCCAGCTAAAAGACAGAAGTTAACTAGTAATTTGACAACCAGTGGGTCATCAACTTCATCATCATTATCAAAAGACACAAAGAATGACGTGAAGTGTTTGCCATTTTTACTGACCACCGTTCGAGGAATTCCTTCAGAATTTAATGCCAAAAATTTGGCAGTTAGCATCAAAGGTACCCTCTTCCTCTATTACAATTAGATGTTTTACTTCTTAATCATACTCAACGATTTTTTTACCTTGTATAGGGAAAGTTAACAATCGATCAATCAATCAGTCTTTGTCAAGTTTAAACTGTCATCTCAAGAGGGTTTGGGAAGGGAATGGAAATATACTCATGAAAATGAGTTGCCATAAATTAAAATTAATTCCCTGTTTGAATTATGGTGTGAATAACTATTTGTTTGTTTGATTGTTGTTTATCTTGTCAGTCAGCCTAGAGTAGTACTTTGATTAATTAACTGACATTTTATTTGCACTGACCAAAATTAATTTCTCTACTATATATCTTATAAAATTAGATATCCTTTCAAATACAACGGGTAACCTAGAGGCATCAGTGCAGGTAAGAAAAATTGAGAGGTCATTATCAGTGATGAGTATTATTTTTATTATTATCAATTAAGCTAACATAGATTATAATTATCAGTTAAGATAAGGCAGTTACCATAATGTGCATTAATTTTTTCAGTTCAACTACATGTTTGATATTCCATGGTTGATGGAGCAGTATCCTGCAGATAAAAGGTAAATATCAAATGTGTTTTAATACAGAACAGTCAAATTGCTTAAAAATGGATATTAATTTTTGAAGTGTCAGACTGTGATGAGTTGATGCAGAATTATTATCTTAAGTTTTTCGGTTGATTTATGTGGGACTAAAAATGTATTCTATGTACTGATTAATACTCTGCCTGGTTATGCAGTTTCATAATTATGGGAAATCAGAATACTCTAGAGGTCTTAACTGAGGCAATTTTGAGGGAGGGAGGCTAAGGTGCTGTGATGTATATATACATGTCCATGAAATCTGCAGATCAAAGGATTTTTATCACCAGCTCAGTATTCACAAGCATGTCTAAGCTACAGTCATCGCTTACTAATAGTTGATGACTTAACATGGAATGTTTTTGGGTTTTATGTATTNAGAAACTGCAATTTACGCTTAGCCTACCTCTAGGTTTTTGCTCCGTTATAGTCAGGTAGAGAGGGAATTTGGGACACCTTTTAATTTTAGCTCATATCAGGAAAGGTCAATGGAAGATTAACTCTTTAAGGTCAAGGGAAGATCAGAAAAATGTATTTTTTGTCAAGGAAAAGTGGCATTTTGAGGACAAGTTCAGGGCTGGTTAAAATTATACAGCTGGTCAATTTAATACCAGTTTGCATTTATTTGGCTTGGGAGAATTTTAGACATATTTATTCTTAACAAGGAAAAGGAAGTGACAAATCAGGGGTATTTGCCCAGAGAGATCAAATTTCTTCTGAAAACCAAGCCATAAAGCATTCCAAATTTCTAATACCTAACTGAAGAGGGTAACAGAAGAGGGCTCTTGATCCCATTTCATGCGTAAATTGTACAGAAACTTACTGGTCGCTTGTCCTTTGAAAAGTATCTCTCACAGCACAATTTAGTGGAGATAACTTTAAGTCTCACCTTACCTTGCCTTTCTGTCAAATTCACATTTCACTTTCTAATTTTGAGCTTATAATCCCTTTGCAATCCTCTACTGAAGAGATGCACTGTACAAGAAAAATACCCGAATATGAGTATATAGTCTAAAATAAAAACTGTTTCAGGAATATTTGGCAGCATACGGGGGTAGTGCACTAGATGACTGGAAGAAAAATGTTCGGGAACATGATATGGCATCTGCAAGGTACATTGTACATTAACTTTCTCTACTTATTTGATTACTTGTTTTTTCATAATGCAGCAGTTACTGAGTTGTCCTTGTCACCCTATAATATTTTCCTAACTATGTCCTAATTGCTGTTGTAATAAATGTTAATAAATGTTAATAATAAATGTTATTGTTATTGTCATGCTTTTGTTATGGTTTTAAGACGCTCAATAGAAGTGTGCTCTGTTGGTATCAACGTAGTGTATTTGCTTAATTTTAGGGTTCGCTTGATAGCTTCTGTTCCTGGGAGACACACTGGAGTCAATAAAACCAAGTGGGGCCATCTTAAACTCCGTAAGGTAATCATGCATTTTTGGGATGCATTAAGAAGTCTAGACAAGAATTGTTAGGGGATAAATAAATTGGTATTCATCACTTTCTAGTAAGATAACTAAAGGTAGTAGCAAGTCCAGAAAAGCATTAAATGTTCATTGAGTGCCATTGAAAAAATGCTAAGTAATCAAACTATACCTTGAGAATAACATCATGTCCTCTTTGAAATTTAGGTTCTTCACCAGCATGGACCTAGCTCAGATGACATCAGTTCCAAGTGGCCTGTGATTGGTCAGTTTTCTAGCATAGGTTCCCTTGGGAATGACAAGGACCGTTGGCTGTGTTCTGAGTGGTTACAAAGCTTGTCCACCTGTGCTGGTAACATGATGTCCAGTCCCCCTCTGCATCTGGTCAGTTTGAGTATCTATCTCCGATAGGGATGATTAGCTCAACACTGATTTGCAATTTCAATCCCGATAGGGATGATTAGCTCAACAATGATTTGCAATTTTTTTTTCTCATCGATATATTACAAATAGTTTGTGTTTTCAATTTGTAGGTATTTCCCACAGTGGACAACGTACGGCACAGTTTGGAAGGTTACCCAGGTATTTTTTATCACTAAAATTAAATTGTGGAAGCAGATTGGTGGTCAGGGTGTTGACCTTGGTTGCTGACCCTTCAATTGGGTGGTCCCTGCATTTAATGGCATACTTTTAGTGGTTCAAGTTCATTTCTAAGTCAGTGATGTCTGATTATTCTCCTCCTCTCTAGCTGGTGGCTCAATACCATACAGCTCCAAGACAGCTTTAAAACAGCCTTATCTTCCAAATTTCTTTTGGTAAGTCATCCTTAATTTGTTTCTGGATTAAATGGGTTTTCATACACCCAGTTAGCTTTGCCCAGTTTACGTGGCATAAAATCCATTAGAGGGGCATTGCAATCGTGCTCTCCACCACCCTTCCTGAATTTTAGGAAAATCTGTAAACCTTAGAAAGTCTTTAATTTGGTGGGTGGCACTTCATCAGAATACATTTCTATGGAGGGAGATTAACTTGTCTTGTCAGGGAGCCTAGGCAGGAAAAGACCCAAAAATGGCTATTAATTTTTTTCTGCTTCTTTATTGATTTGGGCCAAACTTGAGCATCAGTTTAAAAATGTATGAAAGAATATTACATCCCATCTCTGTTTCACCAATGTCATAGTTTCATAGGAAATTACAACTAGGTAGCTGTATTTTGTTCCCCCTTTCCACATTGCTTTCAATTGGCAATCTGGTGCATTTTGCATTTTTCCCGTTTCTTAAGCTCGTGGAAGTCTCTTTCCTGTGGTAGAAGTCGCGCCTCTCCTCACATTAAAACGTACACCAGGACATCCCCAGATTCGAGGCAACTGAGCTGGTTTCTTATGACAAGGTGATAAAAACTGAATCCTCTCTGGAATTTATGCTGGTGTAGAAATTCTGGATAATTATATGGGAATAAAACAAGTGGTGAAGTTGGGCCTTATGCATTATTATGTTTGGTGCTGTTTAAAGGTTATTTGACAGATGATTAAGGAATCTCCTCAGGTAATTGCATTAATTTTTTTTTCTAACTGATATGAAAGCAAGAGTCCAAAGATCATTGGCTTTCCTTTCAGAACCTCTTGGGTTTACCTTTGAGGTGTTCATAGTCTTTTGGATCAGGCTGTTTCTGACTGATCAAAACAAAACTTTAATTAATTCTTTAGTGTCAAAGAGGCAATCTTTCAACAATGGAAGCAGGGGGGTTTTTAAAACATGTAAACATGGTTGTGAATTTTATGTAAGCTTTTTAGAATTCGTTTTTCCCTTATTTACATTTCATTATAATTTTTCAGTGCAAATTTGTCCAAAGCAGCCTGGGGCACCCTTGAGAAAAATGGTCAACAACTGATGATCCGTTCCTATGAGATTGGAGTGTTATTTCTCCCCAAAGATCAGGTATTTTGTTTGGTCAATTAGGTCCCCTGCATTTCAGTTGGAGAGGATAAAGAAAATATTTTCCTTTGCTGTTCCCTTTTTTACCTGAAATTAAATATGCCTTTCAGTAATGAACCAGACTTCTATCAACAGGATCCCTACAGCAAATACTTTCATGTGAAAGGAAAAGAAGAAAGTTATGAAAATTCAAATTCGTTGAATTACAGTGTACAGCTTCCATATGATGTCCCGCCTTCACCATACACTAAAGATGGTAAGATTTCTTGCATGTTTTCAGGCACTGCATCATAAAGGTATTCTCTTTTCATTACGAAGAATGTCAACTCAGGGACACCTTAATAAAAGAAGAAATTGGCATGTTGTGACATTTCAATATTACATTTTTTCTCAAAGTAAAATTTTTTCTTATCGACTCAAGATTTGCTTTTTAATTTTTAGCGTGGGTAATGCATGTCCTTTTAGAAATTTACACTAATCATATGTAAGATACCAGTCATTATTTCTCACCAGGGGAGGGGGCAGAGGATTTTTTTGGGCAATCATGTGATTTTCAGGGGGGAATGGAGTGGGATCAGTCATTGGTAACTCAGCACAAATGGCAGACAATAAAAGAAATTGACTCCTGATGAGGGGATCATTCGAATAATACAGAACCTTAGAGGGGGATCAGGTAAATATAATTGTGACACATCCAAACTCCTTGGAACCCCCCCCCCTCTTCCCCACAGGGAATAAAGTATGACCAGTCCCCTTGATGATTGAAGAAGAATATTGATGTTGAAGAAGAATATAAACCATTTTCAATCACCTACAGCAGTAGTACCAAATAATAAGTTAATTCAATTTGCTTCAACAATCAGCAGTTTCCTTGAAAATTGGGTTTGCAGAAAGCCATGAGTATGGTTTCTTCCATTTTTGTGTAGTTTGAGGTACTTAAAATCAGCGGTTCATCCACAAGAATCTTGTAAGTTACTACATATTAAATGTTTGTGTTTCTTAAAACAGAATCTCCTTGGATGTGGGACGTCAAATACAACACACCTGATTGTCATGGTAGAATATGGTCACCGACATAACCATTTTGCTGGCAAATCACTGGGTAAAAATTGATCAAATCAGATGCAAAGGGGGAGGGGAGAGGCCACATTGTTGAAAGACATAAAAATCATGTTTTGTTCAGAGATACTTTGTGAGAATTGTTAATTTTTGGTATTCTCATGTTGAAAAAATCAAGTGTTGTTCAGACTTTCAAATCTCTTGAAATGACTAAAATTAAAATGATCCTCATGGAGCTTGTTCTGTGGAGTTCAGTTAACCCATTTCTCCCCCTCGCTTAAGAGTGACCAGCATCTCATTTCTCCTTACAGTATTAGGCCTGAATCACAAGTTAAAGTCATGAGAATAAAGAGAGTGATCACCATCTAAATCAGCTCTTGATTGTTATGCAAATTCTCCTCGCCAGCGCCTAAAGAAATGTATAGAGAACAGTATGGAGGATATGCATACTGATCTTTGAGTGTAAAGGGTGCATAGAGATGTTAGGTGTACCAAAGATGAAGACTAATTACACCACTATACTGACAGCCTCATGTGCTCAGGAAGTCTCTGTCAAATTTATTATACAATTCTTATTATTAGCATACTGGTATAATGCTTTTAAAGATTAGTGATAGAAAAAAAATTACTTCACTTCAATCTGCCAAGCTTTCTATATGAATATAAAACAAATAAGTTTACCATTAAAAAAAATTGTGTTTCAACTATAACTGCTTCAATATGAGTTAAACTTTATTTGGCTAATTCATTGCAGCCACATGAAACCACACCTCTCCTTGTTTAGATAGTCTCAATAGTTTGGAAGAGGAAATTTAAACAGTTAGTGTAAAATATGTGTATCTAGAAGAAAAAATTGTTTTTTTGAAAACTGTTGCTATGCAACCAATCACACTTTTCCCACAAGGGAAAAAATCAAAAGTAAAAGGTTGAAAATTTCAGAAACTTTTGCTTTATTATCAATGATATCTAATTTTGTTTTGCCCTACTCAGAAATTTTCTCAGATTGAAACTTTGAAATATGTACATGTATTTAACACCTGAGGTTAAAGCAGAACCATACTCAGAAAATCGCTAAGAAATGAGCCGCCATCCTCATCATCACAACTTGTGTGGTTGGAGGTAATTAACAATTGGTGTGCGTGATTATTGCGAGTTAAGCAACAGGAGTCAATTTCCATTAAAAGATTAAAAAGTATCAATTAAATTGGCTATAAACTCGTATATAATATCTGATATGCTCCGATTTCCTAAAAATAAAAAGGAAAAAGGCAAAAAAAGCTGATGACTGAGTTTGCAACTGGAAACTTGAATTGGGCTTTCGTTTCTATGTTCACTTCATTAAAATTTGAAGAATATGACCTTGTTAACTTATCCACGTGTGAAGTTCATAGATTTTAAACTCTCGGATCCCTCGATGCGAGAACCTCCTCTTATCGTATTTAAATTTTTAACCAGTCGCTTGGACGTCGGCGTATTCATTTTATCAGTGCCACCACCTGTTCAAGTTCCATCTTGAGCCTTGACTTCCGTTGGTGATACCTGTTCTTCTTGAGATCTGAAATTAAAGGGACATTGCAGTCATTGAGCTGAACGAGTCACTTGAAAACACGTATGAAGTACACGCTGGCTTTCTGATGACTGAGTTTGCAACTGGAAACTTGAATCAGGCTTTCGTTTTTACTTTCACATCATTAAAACTTAAGGAATATGACCCTGTTAACTTATCCATATGTAAAGTTCACAGTTTTTAATCAAACTCTCAGTTCCCTCGATGCGAGAAACTTACTCTTATCGTATTTAAAATCATCATCAGTCGCTTTGAAGTTCATTTTGTGGCACCTGTTCAAATTCATCTTGAGCCTTGACTTCCGCTGGTGATAGCTGTTCTTCTTGAGACCTGAAATTAAAGGGAAATTACAGTAATCGAGCTGAACAAGTCACTTGAAAACACGTAGGAAGTAAACGCTGGCTCTCTTGTTTCGTAAGCCTTGTTTATACGCTGAAAGGGCACAATGACTTTTTTAAAGACTAGCAAAGCAGATCTGATCGATAACTCGAGGAATTTAAATTTAGGTTAATTTAAAATGCCGGCTCCCTAGTGTAGAAGACCTAAGACGAAATCGCCAATAATACACCGCCTCATTGACCTCTTGTTTCCGTGGTTTTTCTCGTTCTTTTGCATGTACCCTAATGTTTTTCGTCAACTGTGTCTTCTACACCAAATAATAAGTGCCGTAATGTGTGAACCTCTACCATTCTTAAGAAAGGGATCTAATCTACCCTCTTGAACAGTTTGCTAATTAAAAGGTATTTTACATGTGAATGTGTAGTTATTGAAGTCATTTTTAAATTGGCACTCACAATTCTTTATTGATTTCTCCAATATCTATCGTGACGTCATCACCGATGAGCATAAATGGAGCCCAGAATCGCGGTGCATGGAACTTTTCTGATTCGCGCAGACATTTCATCGCCCCGTTAAGTGACTCACTGGCGCTGTTTCCATCCCTTAGATGTTTGTAGAAGTTTCTCATAAACTCCATGGTGGCTTCGTCATCAATTGCCCAGAGTGCGACCAGAACAGAACGAGCACCAGCACCGAGGAAAGCTCGTGCAATGCGGACCACACCCTCACTTGACACCTCACCCTGTGCACTGTGACAACAACTTAACACAACAAGTTTTGCACGCAAGTTCGCCGCCTTTACATCGGAAATAGTTAACATGTAATCTTGTTCTTCTGGTGTTCTGTATTTTCGTACTGGATTTGGAGCCAAAGCAATTTCCCCAGTCTTGATATCTCCGTGAGCAGCAATGTGCACCACAGCAACCAAGCCGATTCTCTTTAGCACCTCAGGCTTGGTTGCATCTTTTCCGGTGAGTGGCTGAATACCGAGCATTTCTCCGATCATCTCCACTTCCTTTTTAGCGGATGGCAAGGAAGAAAATCTATTCTTCCCGAGCAAGGTGGTAAATTCTTTCATACATGGATCCCCAACGAGCAGCGCCCCACTCTTGTTGTGATAATCTTCCGGAGAGGCGTCGATCAGTTTCATGCACATCAGTGATGGTAGAAACCTTATCCTAATGGATTCACGGAGGTACTTTGACTCGGAATCCAGAAATGCAGCAAAAGGGGCGAGCCACAGTGGACCATCGGGAACAATAACCAACTCGCCATCTTCGATGAAATTTGTAATGGGACTTATGATGCACTCATGCAAGACACGTAAGGGGTTTTCGTCAGACTGTGATGGGTTGTCTTTTTCTTCACCTCTTTTCTCGGCGGGTGGCAATTCTTCTTCGGTTCTGGTCTCATCTAATGTGCGGTTTTCACAGATTACCCGGAATCGTCGTCGTACTTCTTCATAAGCCTTCTTTCTTAAAATCTTCAAATAAGCGGTCGCATCTCCAAGGAGATATCTCACTTCTTTCTGTGCAAACTTTATATTTCTGTCTTTGCCTATTACCCACAGATTAACTGTGTTTCCTTCCAGTGCAATAAAGAGCTTCTGACCAGATACATCACTGGTCATTTCAGAGATCCATGATTTAGCCTCAACTGTTCCAGAAGCTAACATTTCTGAGCCGTAACGCACTTTGATGAGGTCTACTAAGGCTTGGGCTCGTCCTTGGTCAGCAGCACACAATGCCTCGTCGATTTTTGACAGCTTTAGCAAAGTTCTCCAGAGTGAATGATAAGTCACTTGACGTGCACCACGGAAGGTTATTTTCAACGCATCCTCAGCTTGCAGAACTCTCAACTCATCGTAAAGTTTAATACTACGTTGATAATAATCAACCGCTTTATGCAGTTCTCCAGAGCTTTCATAAATAAAACCCATATTGTTTAATGAAGCTCCTACGTTTAATTTCTTCCCCCTTTCCTG